TACATATTCATCCCACAGTCTTGTCAGTCGTTCGTGATGTATAATTGTGTAATTGAAAATTAGAATTTTGATATTTTTATGTACTACATTTTTATAAAAATATATGAAGTTGTATAATTGTAAAATCGTATTAAAAATGTAATTTTATGTACTACATTTTTATAAAGATAAATGCATGGCCGGCGGAACCGGGGGCCCCCTCCCCTACTTTTTTTGCAAAAAATAATGTCTGGAGATTTTTGTGTGACCGGAAAAAAATTCTAGACCTACCTTTTCAGGACCCGTGAGCTGATTTTTTTTAATTTTTTTTTTTTTTTCAATCAGAAAATTAGAATTTTGAAGAACATAAAAGTCATTAAAACACACTTCAAATGTCGGGAAAGCTCATTCCCGCTTTCTACGAATTAAAATTTTCCCGGGGGAGAACCCCCGGACACCCCTTTCTTTTTGGGATTTATGGATTCATGGAAAAAAATCGTATGCAACTACTCAATTTTTTGTATGTATGTATACACACATAAGGCCTATTTACTGTAATAACAATGGGATAAATTTACCTGACCGTTTTCAAGAGGGGGAAACCTTGAATTTTAAAGAACTTAAAAGTAATTAAAAGACACCTCAGAAGTCGGGAAAACTCATTTCCCGCCTTCTAAGAATCACAATTTATTTAAGTTTGGTTTGCGGCGTATTTCAATTAACTTATTCGTTATTTGTACTATTTTGTTAAATTATTTAATTAAATTATTTATTATATATAAGTTTAACAAATAGTACAAAAATAAAAAGTATATAAATTACAAAACCATAGTAAATACTGTATAATAACATAGGCCTAAGACATTTAAATTTATTATTTATTATTCATGCAAAATCGTATTAAAAATGTAATAACTTGATTATTTTTTACGTTTGGTTTGCAGCGTATTTCAATTAACTTATTCGTTATTTGTACTATTTTGTTAAATTATTTAATTAAATTATATTTATTATATATCATTTTATATAATAAATGATAAGAATGTATGGAGTTTTTTCTTTTACTATCTGGCAAGCTGACTGAGCAAATACTCACAAAATTTAAATTAAAATGATAGAAGGAACAAGTAAATAAATTGAAATACATCCCAAAAATATTTAATAAATCAGTGCAAAAACCGAGTATTAAATAAATTGAAATAATTGAGTAAATAAACTGAAATACATCCCAAATAACAGTACCAATAACGAATAAGTTAATTGAAATACGCGCGCCGCAATTAACGCACTACATTCATTGAGAGACGCGCTTGGCGTTCCATGGAAATGACCGGCGGCTCAACTTGTCGGCGGCTCAACCGGTCATAATCCCTCTAGAGCAGGCCTAGGCTAGGCCTAGCTACAGTGTAGGGCCCAGCTAGGTTTGAAAAATGCTAAATTTACCGCTTGGCATCGTGTGTGGCTCCCTGCTTGACTAGATAGCCTAAAAAGCATTGCGTGTTGCAAGCTGGCTAACTAGGTTGGAATTTTTTTTTTCTTTGAGTTTGAGCAGACCTGCCAACCTTTGCATACTAAAAATCTGGAGATAAAGCTTAAAAAACTGGAGATTTACTAAAAAAACTGGAGATTTTAGGAATTAATCAAATCTTGTAGTCCGGTAGCAAAAACAAATGATACTGTTCTATCATTTGAAAATGGACGTTGGCAGCGACATTATTTTTTTTTCATTTGAATGTAGAAGTTGGCGGCGAAATTCAAAAAATGTTTGTTTGCATCGTGATGACTTTGCGGTAACAAATAGGGGCCTAGGCCGTATATTATAAATTTGGTGCATATTACTGACATTAACATTGACTAAAAAAGTGTCAAGTATTTTAGGGGAAATTTGTAAAAATCAATATTAATAGCTGTAGATTTAAAACATTTTTCCGAGAATCTTAATAAAGAAAATCTGGTAAAAACCATGTTCGATCGGGTGAACGGGAGATTTGATTAAAAACCGGGTGACACCCGGCAAAATCGGGTGAGTTGGCAGGTCTGGTTTGAGCTAAGGTTAGGGTATTAAGCTTCGGGCCACAAGTTGAATGTTATTACTGTATTGAGGTTAGGGTTAAATTTAAGGTTAGGGTAGCCTACTGCTGTACCTGGTCAAAATTTTATAGGGTTGCTTAGTAAGTATACCACACATGCACATGTCCGCCGCCAGCCTAAAATAGGCCTACCCCCACACACTAGATCCATATTTACTATAAGCGAATCGAAGAAGTGGTCACTAACCCTTAAAAACTTTCCTTTACTGTATACCTTATGAAATGTTACGACTCATTGTAAACATAGTTGCATCAAATTATTTGTCTGTAGATAATCTATGCTTCCACCAATAATTACAGATCTAATTCTGACATGCACATTGAATCTGGCTTTACCGTAACTTTAAAAATAAGTTTTCCATGTACTTTATACTGTATATATGTGAGGTCAAAAATTGATGCAATTGATGTTCGCCAGGCACTTATCCCCACATGTACCTTGTGCTACAAAATCTTTGTTTTCCCTAAATGAATGAAATACAATTGGCCAAATTGCTAATGTAATATTTTTTCTATCTTAAACCCTAATTGGAGAATTGAGACTAATTCTTTAAGTTATACAGTAGACATAGATCCATTAAAGGTTCCCTAATTAATTTTTGGATAAAAAAAAAGTATAGTCCAAGAATTGAAATACAGTGTGCCTACATACCATGATTCAATAAATTTTAAAATTGTATCATCTTCAGGAATCAATCCATTTAAAAAAAATAATTTTTATTTAGGTATATCATAACACTTACAATTTTATTCCATATTTTAGGATAGGCTTACTTCACCGATTAACCATGGGGTAAACAATTTTAAAATGGGCTAAAACAGAAAATATACTATACTCTACTTTGTCATTTTGGCTAAGACTTAAAATTACAATAGGCATCAAGGAAGCTATAAAACCTTTCAAAAAGAATTCAATGAAAGTAGCAAATTTGGGTAAACAAAAATTAGTATAAGAGTTAGCCCAGTTAGAATTTTTATGCCATTGTAAAAACCACCATCCAATATTACTCAATAGTACTGTACAATAGCATCAAACAGTTGGTTAGATTTATCCATAATCACTAACTTCTAATGATGAGTAATAGTGCAGAAATAGGTTGATAGATTTTTTTACTTAATATTATACCGGTAATCAAATTTAATTTTTTGAATAAATTTATTAAATAATATTGTTTGGATAGGTACTGTAATTTGTAAAATTCTGTAATTCTCTATTCACTGAACTGTATTGATTTGAAAATTATTTTACCTTTTATAAAAACAGAATGTTTCGTCGAAGAATTGGAATAAAAGTGAACAGGCCATTTATAAAGGTCAAGATTGGGACAGGTCGTCTTCTCGTCAGTTTCTTTATGCTGTACGTCAGGCTGTCCAGGAAAATGGTGTTAGAGCCACAAATTTACCTTTTGAATTAAATGATGTTCCAGAAGCACCACAAATATTAGGCCTACATGAACAACCATCATGCCAATTGATTGAGCACCATAAAAGGAAAGAAAGTGAAGTAAATGACTGGCAAACTACCCGAGACTTTAGTAATTGAAACCCTGGTTAATAATTGGATACCACATAACTTAAAGTGTTGTACATGCTTTGTCACCTTAGACGATAAGTGTACATTTTTTCGTTGCTTGGATTGTGGACCAGATTCCCTTTTTTGCGAATCCTGCTTACTAGGAATTCATGAAAAAAATATCTTGCACATATCTGAAATGTGGAAGGTAGGTGATTACCACAAAGTTTTTAACAACCTTATAAAAATTCATGGCCATATTTATTTACTGAAAATATAGTGCTATTGAACTTTATGTCACAGTCGACAATATTTGGTAGAAATAAATCCACTTTTAATTGAAATTTACCTTATTTGGGTAGAAATAGCTCCACTTTTAGTAAAAATACATATTTTTGCACCGAAATATACTTTTTCAGATAAAAGGGAATGGAGGTAAACATTTTTTTTTTCATCCACTCCTATTTTATACTTACATGAATACCATGCCAACTACATGTACTTTTATATTCTAGTGTGTCGCTCATCTATTTATTATTTTTTTTCAATTAATGCAATGAGATATTGAAAATTTAAGGGAGAATTTGGTGCATGCTCCGGGAACTGTGTTGCACACAATTATGGTTCCACACTCTGGTGCATGCACTCCATCCCCTCATTTCCACGATAAATTAAAATTAAATTTATATAACATATCTACTTTTTTGTGATTTTGTGTGACACTGCAATAATTAACAGTACAGATAGCTAAAATCATTCAATAGAAAACAGGAATTTACAAAAATAATATAAAAATGCAAAGTTCATTTGTATTACTCATCTCATCTACAGGAAGTCTAAATCAATAAATTCTTCATCAAGTAAATTATAATTTAATGATTTTTTTTAGTACGGAACCTTTTTGCAACATAGACAAGTGAAAAATGTGGATACCGGTCACTCTTCAAGTTGTGGTATAAGTATCTGGAGAATTGTAACAGTTTTTGATGACAAAGGTATGTTATTTATTCATTTTATTTTTTGCCATTTTAATTATTTACTCAATTTAATTTTTCAAATAAAAAATATTGAGGTAGTGTTCATTCACAAAAGATATTTATCCAATGAATAGAGTACAATTTCAAATGACATTCAGTACAATATGCTTTAAAAAATGTTAAAATTGAAGAACTTCTTTTGCAAAGAAATTTACCATGTACAGTTATGTGTGCAATGTGTATTAAAATGTGGAGTTGATAAAATGTATTTTTTAAGTCTTGAGTATGTAAGTACAGTAATATAAGTTTATAAGTTTCACTTTCTGGATATTGTTCCTTATTTTTTACGAAGATGCCATAATTTGAATATAAAATTTTGCTCTTGCGAGCATGAAGTTGCTACAATGGTTAAATTGAGGCTCTGGCCAGCTTCAGCGAAATCTGTGAAGGTTGCCTTCACAATTGACCTAATGAAATGGATGGAGATTTTACTACTAGAATGCCAAGTGTCCACTAAGGGTTTTTGTGAAGCACTTAAATTAAAGAATGATCTTCAACCATTTGAGGTATTTTAAAAAATGTCGTCATTATACACTTAAACCGTAAATTAGAACCAGATATTCTGCGATCATTGTATCAAGATCAAAATCAATTGATGGATAAGTCATTGCAATTGAATGACCAGAATAATGTTATTGAAGGAACTTAATGTTGCAAAATCCCAATGGGAATTCACCAAACCATTTTAAAGTCTTTTTAAGAAGTAAATTTCAACCAGCAATTTTCTGGGAATCATCTGAATCTTAAAAACATAAAATTCTTATGTGGGAACATTACATTACATGTATTTTATTTTCTAAACATTTTTTAAGGTAAATTGGCTTAAAGAATTGGCCCGCAAGGAAACTGTGTATGAATTTCGCCAAGCTTACTACCAACTTAGTAAAATAAGCAAGTCTGATGATGTACTTTGCCCTGCTTGTCCAAAGGTAAATTAAAGTATTATGTGCAGTTATATCTTTACTTATTTGCAACAGGGGTCTCACCAGCCACTCAGGATTGGTGGTCGGCGCCCGCCCCCACACTCGGGTGTCTCGGTTCCTTTGGTTCGAAACAATGAAGTAGAAACACAGAATGGAAATAGTTGTTTTCCATATAAAGCATTAATAATAATACATTAATAATAATTCAATTCATTATACATAGATATAATTTGAATTGTTATTTTTATAAATAAAAAAATAAAATTAATTGAAACCGATTATTATTTTAAATTACTTAAAAAGACCAGTAAAATTCAATATGATTTAACTCATGTCGTTAGGCTTTCACAGTGGAAACTATGGTCAGGATCAACTTAGAAGTTGTAATTAATGACTGTGTATTGATCCACAGTAAACAACATAGCACAGCACAGTTAAGTTGTTGCAAGCCATGTGGACTTTTTCAAACAATGTTTGGTCTAGACATTGTGGCTAATTAATAGCATTGTTTTAACTTTTTTATGCTGGTGTTTTTCATTGTCTAGCCAATGAGTCATTGCTATTCAACGCTTTGGGTAGTATATATTTTAGGAAATCCAAATAGTGTATTTTTCTGAAGTAATAGGCCTAGGCTTAGGGTGATGGTCAGCGCCGACCACTATGGTGAGAACCCTGGCAATATTTAATTTTTTTTTTATGTAGGAAGGTGGAACAAAATTTGTGTCTTTAGATGGAAACTTTGGCCTTATCAGGAGGAGAAAAGCAGGGGACAGCTTTGAGCCACCCAAGCATGATGGCAGACTTTTTATGCGTGATAAAGAAGTTCAAGAATTTGTTGGTTCCTATAATGATTCGTCATCAGGCGCTAAGGTAATAAGTTTTTTTTTTTGTTTTTTTTTCATTTCATTTCAATGTTCCCTTAAAATGTTTTAGTGTCATTACTAGTTTCGTTGTTCAGTATTGATGTTTCTTATTTATTAGGACTGTCATCGATTCAAGGCAGGTGATAAAGTGCGTTCGAAATCCAGAGCATCAAAGATGGACATTAAGGGTGTGTTGGGATGTGTTTGCAGACATGAATCACCTATCTTGTTTATGAATTTGCAGCACGGAGAGAAACGTATTTTATACCTTGTTTTGCGAATCCTAGAAATATGGATTTTCAAATAAAAATAAAATTTAATTATTGGTGTGTTAGCAAACCTGCCACTGTTAAAATGTCTAAAAAAGAATTAAAAATGTAAATTTATTTTTATTTTTATTTTATACTTCCTACTTATGGAATTTATTTTCCTAAAAAATATATTTTCACAACATTGCAGTATATTTCACACATACACGAATAAAATTTATTTGTCTTTTAAGCCTCCGCTATAGTAAAGTTTGCAAATCATTTTGCTAAATGGAAGTACATAATTTTATATTTATTCCGCTCTCTTCTTGAAAAACTTTTCCAAAAGTTTGTGAAACAATGTATAAAAAAATGTGCAAATTGTTTTAAAGGTGTACAATATTTATTGTCTTCAAAAGGTTGGCTTACCCTGTTCTCCTTCTGAATAAATTGTTGGACAAAGCAGCAGCCAGTAATCAGAAATTAAATGTGACCTATGATATTGCCTGTGTTCTCACTTCTCATTTAAAGGTTAGATTATTATATACTGTTGAAACTACAGTTTACATTTATAACCAGAGATTGTTTTAACTCTTAAACAATTAAAAACAGTTTAATGCTACAATAATTAAATTAATGTATTTTTATATTTTGTGTATGTAACATTTTTAAGCTTAACAAACCAAGTTGTAATATGTTATCTATTTTTGTCATGTCTTTAGAATCGACACCAGCATGAAATGCTGAATAATCTGAAGATGACAATACCAATATTTCATTGTTATGGACATAAAGCTTCATGTCAGGTAATGTGTGGTTGTGTTGTCCCATTTTATTTTGATGTCTCATAAATGCAGATTTGATACAAAAAATGTTGTTTTAGAGAGGGGCATGGCAAAACCATGAGTGTGATGAACCTTTAAAAATTGACAGTTATTAAAAATTAAAAATTAAATGCATAGAATTTATAATAATTCCAACCACTTTATACACTATAGCTGTTCTCATTGGTTGTTGTGTATCTGTATATGTTATTTCTTTTGTTTAGTCAATTATTTGAAATTCTCACTTAGGTGGAATTTAGTCAGAGGAGAACGAAACAATTTGGACTTACTGATGGGGAAAGCATTGAAAGACTCTCGTCTTATCTTCGACGTTTTTGTAAGATAACTAAAGAAATGACACCATCTCATCGAGTTGATCTGTTAACTGATGCATTACTGCATTATGCGAAGCGAAAAGAAAGAAACATAGGTACTTCTAAGTGTGAAATTCATAAAATTTTATCCTAAATAAATCAATTACCATAACTTATTAGAGTACTTAAAATCTTAGATGCATTTTCATGCCTTACTAATTTTTTACAATATTTTTTATTAGAACAATAAAAATCATCTTTTGTAGGTATGATGCTCATGCAGAAGCATAAAAATGCTAAAACAGTTCTGAAGACTGCAGAGAAAAATCATGCTGACAAAATCAAGTCCATTAATAAAGGTATCAAAATCATTCCATATTCTAATACTGTATATACTTTCCATGTTATTAAGTGGTACAGTATCATTAATATATACATAATTCAAATATGTAAGTGTTGATATTTCAATTTTAATATTCTAAATGAATATTTTAGTTAAGTGTTGTCATTTCAATTTTAATATCCTAAATGAATACAATTTTTAGTGTTTTTTTTTTATTTGTTTAAATCACAATTTTAACTTTCAAATGATTTTATTATACTGTTTTATATACTGTATATATAGCCTAATGTTTTAAGACATCCTGTAATTGGCCTTTCGGCTGTTGGATGTACGTGAAATAAAGAAATAAATAAAGAAATGCACTTTATGTTTAATTTTAAATTCTGTATGGTTTTTGTTTCATTTGAAAGCATATTTTAAAAAATTGAAAATTATATTTTGACAAAATTTTACATAAAGTGTCAATTGGAGTGATCAGATTATTTTTGTTAATAATTATTGTTTATTTTTTATTCTTTCCAATCTTTCTCAGTCATCGATCAAAACACTATCCGAAGATGGATTGATGAGGAAAAGGCAGCACTCTGCAGCAAACGTAACACAGATAAAGGTTATTTAAATTTTTACATTCATTGTTTTTGCACAAATTTGGATTAGGAAAAGGCTTGCATTTAGTTCACTGCTTGATTCCAACATTAAACATACCATTATTGTTGAATGTGTAAATGCTCTATTTACTGTATTTATTTAATGTATTCTCATTACCAAACTTGTTAATTTCAGCCCCATGGGAAGAGACATATGTTTTTCAGCTTGGTCAATTGGATTCTTTGAGAAGCAACCCAGATTCATCAGAGCAATATACAAGGTATGAGATTTTTCATTATAAAGCTGGTTTACAATAAATTCCACTTTTGCCTTGTAGCATGTCCTCACTCTCTTATTTTTTCATTTATGATAACTAGTATAATTTTTTTTTCTCCATAAGAATGGTTTAAAATACAGTACATTGTATTGCTATGAAATATAGATTACATTTTATATTAGTTTACGTTAGTAATGAATCTCTCATTAGAACTTCTTTTTCTGGCAAATATATTCGAAGACAGATTTGTGCAAGGTAACCAACTACTGTATGTCATGTAGGTGAAGTAAAGTCAACAGCTTGATCAGTTTTTTAAAATACAGTATTATTTTATTGCTTATGGATTGAAAATTTAATATAATGCTTAAAAATTTACACAAGTCTGTCTGCAACTTAGAAAAATCTAATGGAGTTACCAAACGATGGAAAAAAGATGATGCAAAGTTCAAATCAGCACATATTGCTCAACAACATAGGTGCAGAATCAACTGCCTAGACAAAATGAGAGAAGTAGCAAAGGAAAGGATGTTTCTTTTGGACTTGAAAAAGAAGTATTTTGGTAGGTTTAACATGGTTTATTTGAAACCCTTTCTTCCCTTATTTGGAAGTTTTAAAAAAAATGTAAAATTTAATATCAATGAGTAGCAAAAAATAGTGCAAATGTATTTGTATAAGAAATAGAATAAACATTTTAATCATTGTTCGAATTTGTAAGTATTGGTCACTGATGATGTCACAGGCATAGTTCAATAACAAACTTATGATGAAGTTGATTTTAATAATTACAGTAAAAGAAAATAAAGAAAACTATAAAAACTATTATTCTTGGGACTAATGCATTTTGAAAGTTTTACACACTAAATGTTATAATAATGTTCTTATACCAATAAAACCATTCTGCAGGTCATGATTTAAACAATGCTGCTTATGTATTAAAATAAAAAATTTACATGTATTCTTTTTATAATTAAAAGCCATGGTTTCTACATTCAGTGTTTTGGTCATTGTACTTTCAGATGGCCAGACTGTTGCTATTAGAATCAGTAGACAGATAAGCAAAACAAGTGTCAGTTTGAGAAAGCTACTTGCTACATACAAGACATTTGATGGTGCTGAACATACTACATTCTCAGATGTGTCCAACCCAGAAGGCAATATCTACCTACCAGCTTGTGAGGTAATTATTAATTTCAAAATTACTAAATAAGTTTATAAGTTTCATTGTTGTCCTTACTATGCTTTTAGTTGGTCAAATTTACAGGTATTAATCCAAATTCACCGAAATTAATTTTGTTAACTGTAAAATAACTAAACAATCAAATCATGTATTCTTTCAGACCTCCAAAGATGATATTCCATCAACTGCAAAAAGAGAGATTATTAAACTACATTATTTGAAAGAAAGAGCTACGGAGGAAATTATTATGGTTGAACATGAAATGGAGAATGTTATGAATTACTATTTGAATCAGCATACAGTGCTTCATAAACAGATTACAGAGGAAAATGTTGCATATGGCAAGCGTTCGTTCCTAATCTTTAATGCAATTATTCTTGAAAGGAAGTTAAAAAGCTTGGAAACATTATTCAATAAATTCATAACAACACCAACTGTTCCAAATACCACAGATTATGAAGATGTTCATGTTGTTGATGTAGGTTGTATTGATTATGAAGGTGAATCCCTGAATGACCTGAACCAGGATTTAGTAGAAGAAAATGAGGACAGTGAGCAATACAGTAGTGATGAATGTTTAAGTGATGAAGAATTTTCTTCTGATTAAAAATGCTCTGGCAGACATTAATCAAAATATTGCCATCTACAATATGAAATATGAAATGGGGCCAAATTTTTAATTTTTTAGGATGAGAATAAAAAAATTAAAGGGGTAAATTACTGTAATATGTTGCTGGAAGAAATTAATGTGACGAAAAAAAAGTAGAATAAACAGTATTTTGCTATCTATCTCAAAGTATAAAAAATGTGATTAATTTATTAACATACTATATGCTTGCGAAAGGACATTGTTATTTGAAACAATTATTATTTATATATTTGTAATTAAAGTGTCTTTTAACTGTAAAGTATTATAATAATTTTCTTGGGCAGCCACCTTTGTAATACATGATTTTCAAATAGAACATTAACCATTTTAAAAATCTATTTTTGAAAATTACAGTATAGTCAAAATGTTTGACATCATACAGCTATACCTCACAAACTAATGTGGCTACTTCCATGATTATATATTTTTGATATTTGTTTTCTAATAAAATGTACAAAATGTTATCTCCCTTTAACATAAACATCTTTATAAATGTTTTGAGGTATACCGTAAAGCTTCTAATAGTCACCCACTAAAAACAAAGAATAGTAACCCCGGAGTTACTATTAGAAGCTTTACAGTATTCTTCAAATACATTTTGGTTGTATGCTGGTAATTTTCAATAAACTGGTATACAGTAGTTGTGTAAGCACTATATAGAAATAAAAAATAGAATAAACAGTATACCCAAAGTTTAAAAAATGAATTAATTATTGTTTTAGCATTTGTACTATATGCTTGTAAAAGGACATTGTAGTATTTCAATGAAAATTACAGTCTTGTCAAAATATAGTCCCCCTACTCTAAAAGTAACCCCCAGAAAACCAATCAAAGACTAGTAAACGTGGGGTTACAAATAGTTGCTTTATGGTAATCTTCCAAATGCATTTTGGTTGTATGCTGGTAATTTTCAATAAACTGGTATAGACCTACACTATGTCACTACAGTATATATAAAACATGTAGAACAATCATGAATTAAAAGTTTTTAATTGTCATAGTTAAATTCAATTTCTCTACATGAGAAATTGATGTGCTTGTAAAGTTTGTATCCCAAAGATTGAAATATTGTACATCAAATTAAGATTTGTTGTTGATTATATCAATGTTGAAATCTGACACACTGGTGTCACTAAATACCTGAAATTAATATCTTTTGGAAGTGCTTTCCAATTGTGGGTACAGTACAAAATTCACTACTTTGTAAAACATTGGTATTCACAAAGGTAACTTCAAAATAATTAAGGAAACAAAAAAAATGAATAAATGACTGTTGTCTGATAGATAACAACCATAGTTTTGTGTGTAGTATGGATTAGAATTGCGAGAGGTCCACGAATTTCAGACGCGACTAAAATTGTATCTGCTAAACCAACCAGTTTAACGACTTCTTGCGTTTTGGTTGACGTTTTTCACAATGATCGAGACCTCAAAAATTCAGATGTCTCCAAAATTTACACCCTAGCCTGGATCGTCCCAAACGCATAATGCAGTGATTCCTTGAATCATTTTAAAACATTTTCTAAATATTACATTCGGATCAGTTGACCCGTTTTCGAAATATCCGTTATGGGACGTTTTCCTTTCAATGGTCCTGAGACCTACACCGGATCGGAAAAAAAATGCCATCATTTCTTTACTCGACGTTTACAAATTATTAGAGGATGTTTAATTTTGACCTATTGAAATAAATTTTTTGAGATATTTAGGCCTGAAATCTCAAAATTTGACATGATCCCAAAATGTACACCCTGGACTGAATTGTGGCCACCACGTACTTAATACAATAGCTTGTATCTTGGTTAAACTTTTTCAAAAATGTTCATTCCATTCAGTTGATGCGTTTTCGAAATATGCGGTCTGGGACGTTTTCCTTTAAGTGGTCCTCCGGTCCACACCCTACACCGGATTCTCAAAATAAGCATATAATTTTTTTTACACGATCTTGACTAACTCCTATACTACGTGTAAATTATACATATTGACTTTTTTCTGAAAGATATTTAGGCCTGGGACCTCAAAAAATCAGGTGGCCCCAAAATTTACACCCTTCACTGAATCGTCCCGGTCACATGATAATAATCTTGCTTTTAACGTTGTTGAACTTTCCCGAAGGTTTCGTTCTGCTCAGTTGACCGGTTTTTGAAATATCCGGTGTAGACTGTTGGCCCTTAAATCGCTTTAATTGGCCCTCACACAAACACCCCACCACAGATTGACACTAAATTCTTCTAGGCACATCCTTTATACATGATGCATGTTTCGCCAAAGCAGGGAAAATATCAAAGCATGGGAAAAGGCAAAAGTGACGGCCAGAAGAAAACAGTGCAAAAAGATAGGAAAAAAGTATGCAAGAAAAAGGGGGAAAAAAATCAGAACAAAAACAATGGCTTTTCCCAGACTACTGGGAAAAGCCAATAATAATAATAATAATAATAACAATAATAATAATAATAATTGATAATGAAAATGATGAAGACAATGAATGTATGACGACGACAACGATGGTGATGATAATGATGAGAATGACTACGATGATGTTGATAAAGTTGATAAGGATGATGATGATGATGACAAGCAGCTGATGCTGATGATGGTATTACATTCAGTGTGACACTGTCCTAAGACAAGAGTGGGGAACCACTGATTGGATTAAATCTGCTCATTCATTTGTAGCATTTTTATATTTCACAAGACAAAAAATGGCCATTGGTTATCACCAAATCCTTGAAAACCCTATTACAACTTATTCTGATGCAAATGTGTGAAAAAAAATACCCGTGTAATTTGTGATAAGGCAAGAGTCACAGACCGAACAAGAAAAAAAAAATCAGAAGCAAATGCAAATTGCTCATTAATTACTTTACGGACCACCGACAAAGTGGCACGTAGAATCTTGTTTCTATCGACATTAAGCATGGGGTTCCAAAAAACGCTAGTTTCAATGTTTTTTTTTAAACTTATAAATTGAGTTTAAATGCCAAGAGGGTTCTTAGGCAGCAAGATCATAATTTCTTTTTTTTCGAGACATTAACTTTTGGAGCTCACAATATGAATGACTTAAAACTTTTAGAAGTAATTAGGAATAACGATGATGCCAAAAGTATACTAAATGATCTGGACATCCTCTACGATTTGTGCAAAACCTGGAAAATGTCCCTTAACCTACAAAAATGTAAGAGTTTAGCCATCTCCCTAAAAAGATATCAAATTTCTTTCCATTTTAAAATTAACGATTATGCTCTTGAAAAAGTAAAATTACACCGAGACCTTGGTATTATTATAGATCCTAAGGTGACAGTTAATGAACACGTCAAATATGTTTGTTATAAAAGTAATAGAATGTTAGGTCTTTTACAACGTAACTGCTGGAACATAAAGAATCATAAAACATTGAATAATCTTTATTGTTCGCTTGTAAGACCTCATATTGAATTTAATTCTGTTATTTATAATTCTATGTCTGATACTCTTTTGTCGAAAATTAATTCGATACAAAAGCGATTCATTAAGTTCGTTTCTCATGCATGTAATATCCCATTTTCTGAAATTAATCTCCCAACTTTGAGTTCTAGATTCAACTACCTAGACTTTGTCTCTTTTATAAAACTGGGCTAATGGAATTTATGGTCCTGATCTTCTCTCAATTTAAAATTATCGTTCGCGTCATTCTGTTTCCAATTTATTTAATGTTCCTTTCCAGAGTTAATGTTGTCAAACAGGGCTTTCTCGTTAGATTACCTAATTTTTTTAATTCGATTGTTGCCAAAGATAATTCCATATATATTTTATGATTCTTTTAGTACTTTTAAAAGGAAAAATAAGTTACATATTTAATTTTTTTTACTATTTATTATTATTAATGGTATTTTATTCAATTCAATCTCAAACATAAAACATGGCAGCCAAAGGGTTGAATTGCGAATTATGTTACATAAAATTTTCCATATTAATTATAATACAATTATTTTTTATTTTACATAAGTAATAAATTAATTTAACAACCATTAATTAGAGTAATTACATAAATTTGTTACAATAAAATACATCAAATACATAAAAAAAACGAGATAAAATCTTTCGAAATACATATACAAAAAATGAAAATTACAATAATCCATTAAATTACATTCAAACATCAAAACAATTATTTGTTATTATTTTACATAAATGATAAATTAATTTAACAACCATTAATTAGAGTAATTACATAAATTTGTATGCTTTTCGTGTTTGTTGTTTGTTATTCCTGTTTATTGTTATCATTCTGTAAGTGGCGGGCTCCCCGCTGTTGGATGTGAAAATGAAATAAAATAAAATAAAAATAAATAAATCTGTAAAGGTGCACTGCAACTCAAATAGTCGAAGAAATGAAAAATTATTTAAAAAAATGATAATATCAAAGAACAATATAAGTTATCAACTTTCCCAAAAAAACTAGAACGAACAAATATTTTTTTGCTGAGTTATGACTATTTTACGGTTTACGGTCTTTTTTGTCTTTATTTGTGCACAAGACAAAAATGGATTTATCAGGGATGATCTTTATGAACTTATAAGAAAAAAAACATTGCCAATGGGTCATTAAGACAAAAGAAAAAAAATATTTCTAAACTTTTAAGAGAGACTGGTAAGCTTCTGAACTTAAAGTAATAGGCCTATCCATCATCACTTACAGTTCGTCGGTTATTGGGCCAATAGAAAATTTGCTCATGATCCTTTGGAATTTCTAATCCTGCTTTTAAAATTGTAAAACAATAAGAGCACAGTATTAAATTTGAACCTTTATTCAGCGGATAATATATATTTATTGCATTGTTCTTAAAATTTAAATTTTAATATAAATATTACTAATAGCATTTTTTTTTTTTCTAAAATTGGTTTTACGGAAATTAAATATATGGCTTACAATAATTGAAAGTGCGCAAAATTAATTTTAGAACAATAATAATAATGTAGAGTGTAATTTTCTTTTTTTCTTTTTAAACTAAGCCAAAACAACGTAAATTACGTACCACAACGGTTTCGACCTTTATCAAAGGTCATCATCAGGTGAATAATAATAATAATAATAATAATAATAATAATAATAATTGTTATATTATTAATATTATTATATTATATTTTAATTAAAACGGTAGTACCAGCATCACATGATTTTTTAATTCTGCCTAATTTAAAGTACTCTCCGTGTTTCTGAACCCTGGTTGCACCAGTAATGAAATTCGAGTAAATTTAATTATTATATCTCAGAATTACACACAGTTACATAAATAAAAATCAGAGTTTCGTCATACTAACTCACATTGAACCGGTAATTATAAAACCTATAAAGTGAATAGGCCTATCACAACTTCCAGATTTTTAAAAGATTTTCTACACTTTACGAACTGGAATTTCATCAATGTAAAAATAATATAATGAAACCGAAATTATTTATGCAATGGCGTATATGCCGGCATATATTATTATATACATATATAATTACATTTAGTTTGTATGTTTTTACTATCCTTAATTTTTAATTTTACATGTATGCTTACAGTATTCTCACATCATTGGACGTAATATCAATAATTTAGGTTTATGTTCATATTTTGTAAGTAAATGAAACATTTTGTTGCTGTTGGATACTTAATAAATTAAAATAAAATATACAGTATAGTTTATCGTTATTAATTTTATTTTTCCTGATATTGGCATATTTCTGATTTTCATTATAAATTATGCATTGTAAAAATTGAATAAATTTTATAGAAATAGAAAAAAAATATTTTTTTGAAACATTTTGGGTGCTTGTAAAAAAGACGGGCTAAACCACTATTATATAGGGGAAACAATTAATATAAATTTTAAATTTTATATATAAAACAATTTCATATAACATTTAATAAATAAAATAACACTAAAAATTCCTATAATTTACTTTTATTACAAAATAAAACAATTAAAACTA